AGCCGAAAATCTGACAGGGAACTTTGCTATTCCTGTATTCAAGACCCATTGCGTGTCGCACATCAGGGCTGCGTTTGCTATGGGCACAACAGCGCGCAACTCAGCTCCCGAGCTGGTGCATACAATGATGACATCAACAGCCTGAACGCCTAAAAAAGAAAGGAATGCATGCACAACGTCAACATTGAGGCGGGGATCAACGCATGCCGATACGCGTACACAGCTACTCGGTACGTATCCTGCCTTGGACCCGACGCTGAGTAAACGTAAGCTGGCCTTGCCATGGCGGGTGAAATACACGCGTCTTGCCATCCAAGGTGTGTCGATTGAGTGGCATTGCCTGTACATTGCGATGCTATCCAATATAGATTCCAAAGCGGCCTCCGGACCGATCAAAACGAGCCATTGTTTGGCTTCCCTGATGAATGACACATTACGGGGACGCAGTGATGGCCGGATTTCCCGGAGCAAGTCCGCAACGTGGCCAGGGGGGATGAACACTTGCAGCATTGTTTGGTTGTCGTCGCCGTTCGCACTGCTCCAGACAAGCGCGCCGGACGCTTCGGCGCCATGCAAAAGCCTAGACACATGCTCTTTACTTCCACTAAACACGTAACGATGCAAGCCGTCTCTGTTCTGCCGCAATGTGGAGTGCTCACACGCCTATGTTGAAACTCAGCTTCCAAGGCACTCATCCTATGCGCAACCTCTACTGACGCCCGAACCATGGAAGAACTTCGGCACATGACATTCTTGCGCCGACACGTCATTGAAGCTAAAAATATCATGCTCAACCACAGGCACTTCAAACATGTCTTTTGATTGGCTTGCGCCTAAAGCGAACGCATGCAAGTATGAAGAAGCACATGTATGAACATGATCCCGCCACCCACCCTGCCGGCTGAGAATGTGTATTTGCTTTAAAACGTCGCAAAAAAGGCGCGATGACAGTCCAGGGCTTGGCGACGAGAGGGCATGAGATTTGTGTCCGTAGAATCCGGATGGGCTGCGGACGATATCTATAACAATGGTGCCCTCAAGATCGCAACCATCTCTGAACGCAGTCTTGATGACAGCTGAGGACGTGCCCTGCACCAAAATGCTCTTAGAAGCCTTTGCAACCTCCTTCTGAAAAGCATCGTGATCATCACTGCAGAACACTGCAGGTCGGCCCCTAAGGTCTTCAAACCAACCAGGCTCCACAAAGAAGGCCGTGGCATGAATGTTCAAAGCCGCAGAGACTTCAGTGACAAGCGTGTCGAAGGCTTGGATGCTGGCCTGATTCTGCACGGGTTCACTTACAGATTTCACCGTGGTCGGGATGTTGCCACTGCGGGTAGGGGTCCTCGAATGGTCTCGGGTCCCAGTGGGTCCAGGGTGCTCTGCTTCCCCGACCCTGACCCCCCGCCATCCGTACCTAGCGTTCCGCTCTTCGTGCCAGCTGCGCCAGGCTCGCAAGCATGCGAATTGAAGCAGATTCGGCAACACGCCCTGTCGCTGCATGCATTGTTTCCTAAATGCACGGTGGCTGCGAAAGCTGGGAGAATCTAGCATCGGCTGAAAGATCATTTTCGCCTCTGTGCCAACGGGGGCACAACACGCCTTAAAACATGAACGACAAATATCGTGCGTGCAGGGCGAGTCGCAACAGCGATGCCAGAGTGGAAGAGGAGGTAAACGAAGGAGGTCACTGTGCGCATACAGATCTGGCCTAATGAAGTTCACACTGATATCGTACTCCGAGTTGCACCCGCCAGTGCCCGCCGGGGAGGCAGCCGGGGCCATGGCGTCAGCAGGTAACGCGGTGGCCTGCCGAGGCCAGGGCGGGGGCCGCGGGCTCGTCAGTGCTGGGCGGGCGCGCGTCTGGGGCGCTTGCGCCGCACCTGGCTGCATCCGCCGCCAGGCACCGCTCCTCGTGCACCTTGATCCACCTCCAAGTGACGTTCACGCGCGGTCCGGGGCAGCGAACGTCCCTCTCCTTCGGCACCCTGTGCATGTAGTGGCGCTGCGTCATGCCCTCCATGGTGCACAGGTCGCCGGAGACCAGTCGCAATATAGTTGCATGGCCTCTGCCCGGCTGCCTCCTGGAGGAGGCCTTCACCTCGAAGTTGCGGGTGGCCCCCAGGGACAACGAGATGATGAGGCAGTCCTCTCCTTTACCCTGAAATAGCTTCTCGTCGTCTGCGTGCCAGGCGACCGAGTGCTCCCCGCTCTCGTAAAAGTTCACGTTGCAGCTGTTCGGCCAGTCCTTCTCGTCCGGGAGGCCGCACAGCGGCATGCAGAGCCTCATCGCCTCGTGCACCGACGGCGCGAAGGGTTGGGCCTGCATGCGCAGGCCGCCATAGATATACCCGCACTTGCACGGGCAGGAAGTCTTCCAGCTGGTCTTACGCGGGATGGGGCCCCAAGTGCCCTCCAGTTGCTTCCACTCGGTGTCCCGCTCGGCGGCCGCCATGAGGCGGCTTGCAGCCTCCTCGTCGAGCGCCCCGGGGAGGTGGCCCACGAAGCTCCTCCTGTCATCGTCGCGCAACGGGTAGCGCCAGAGGGCACCGGCAGGGGCCATATCCATCACCAGCTTCAGGTCCACCTCCACGCGGTTCCTCTCCAATAGGGGCTCCGTCGTCGAGGTCTCTGCGCTGGCGCCGTCGACATCGGGGAGCGTCAGTCCTGGGCTGCAGCTGCGGCCTCCGCCGGGATCGAGCCCGCGAAGTCCGCGACCAGCACCGCTTCCTTCCGGGGCAGGCGCGGCGCCAACGCCATGAAGGCGAGCGCCGCCCGGCGCCGTCGCCGCCATCGCCGCCGGCGCCACAGCCGTTGAACAGCCGTAGCATCCACCTGCGCCACCCAGCACGGTCGCCCGAGCCCGTTGACTGCCGGGTCCAGCCGCCAGAACTGGTATCCCCGCGTGCACCATTTGCACATGAGCCCCGGCGCGCCGGACAGGGGAGGGGCCGGCCCGGAAGCGCGGCGCAGCCGATTGGACTGATTGGACTGGCGCGCCCGCTGAGGCCTAGGGGGAGCCTCCCCCTTGAGCCAAGGCCCGCTTGAGCCACATTTTGAAAACCACCCGCCCTCCATTTGTTAGACTCTTGCCAACTTCTACGTTTTAGGATCATAATGGCACAGCAGTGCCATGCGAAACGCCCAGCTCGCCCTTCCGACTGGCTTCGGGGTGCGACAGGGAGGCGTTATGTAATCGCTTCGCTCATTCCGCTGGCCCATATTGCGCGCCTTGGAAGCCTTTTGCTGCTTCCTGGGGGCCTCTTCCTGCGCAAGGCTCGAATTGTCGGTTCGTGTTCCCCCTCTTGGGCCCGTGTTGGGGCCGTTTTCGGTCTCTGTTGGGCTGTCTTGGGCTCCCCTTGTGCCGTTTCGGGCCGTCTCGAAATGTCTTGGGACTTTTTTGCGGGCCCCTTGGGCCGTCTTGGAGCTTCAGATGTTCGAAAAGGCGATAGCGTGAGAAACATTGAAGAACACATCAACATCACTGGAACACTCTGGGGGCTTCTTTGTGGCCTCTTCGGCTGTCTTGGAGGCATCTTCGGCCATCTCGGCGGCTTCGGTGGCCTCCCAGGTCCGTCTTGGAAGCCATCTTGGGCATCTGGGACGCATCTCGGGCGCATTGAAGAACGCCTGGAATCCATCCCACCGTTGTGCGTGTGTCGTGGGTCAGGATAGTCAGGGATGCTCGGGGCTAGCGAGAAGGAAGAGGATGAGGAGGAGGAGGAGGCGGAGGAGGAGGAGGAGGAGGCGGAGGAGGAGGAGGAGGCGGAGGAGGAGGAGGAGGAGGAGGAGGAGGCCTCTCGATCGCTTCTTGGGGCATTTTGAAGCCAAACTCGGTCGTGGACAAGACGCCTGTTTGGGAGGCTGCTTGGGGTCTCTTGGGAGGCCTCTTGGGGGCCTCTTGGCGGTATTTTTGGGACCTCCTGGGGTCTCTTGGGGGCCTCTTTGGGCCTCTTGCGAGCCTCCCGGGGGCTTCTTGGGGCATTCGGGGGGCTTCTGGGGGCCGAGAGCTGAGATGTCCGTTCGGGTGCCTCCTCAAGGGCCGCTCGTGTCGCTCTCTTAGGGGCCTCTTGGGCCGTCTTAGATGGCTCTTGAGCTGTCGTCTTCGGGCCCCCTGGGGCCGTTTTGGGGCCCTCTTGGAGGCGTCTTGGGCCGTATTCCAACGATCTTGGGGGCCTCTTCAGGGCTCGTTTCGACTCCTCCGATTCGAATCGATTCGATTTCGATGGCTTCCGATTCCGATTCGATTCGACTTGGGATTCCGATTCGGGTTCCGATTTCTTCTTGGAGACATACTAGCCTGCCGATTTCTGCCGATTCGACTTTTCCCGACTCGGCCGCCGATTTCTGCCGATCCGATTCATTTCGATCGCCGATCCGAGTTATCGATTCGATTCTGGGCTCTCCTGCCTCTTGGGCCGTCTTGGAGCGCGGGGAAGACGAAAAGGCGAAAACGTCAAGATCTTTCAGCCCAGGACAGGAACGTAGCTTTTTGCCTCTGGGTGCCCTCTTCTTGGGAGGGCTCTTAGTGGCCTCTTGGGGCGTTTGAAAGGCGTCTTGGGCCATCTGAAGGCCACATTGGGCGTCTTGGACCGGTCGTTCGACGACTGGGAGCCCTCTTGGACCGTCTGGTTGACTTTTTGGGCCCTCTTGGAGCGCTCTGGAGGCCTGAAGGGCGGCGCCCAGAAGGAAAACCATCTCTGATCCGAACCGGCTAGGGTACTTTTCGTTCAGGGACCCCAGGTGCCGCCCAGCGCGCGCGAAGTAGAACTAGTGCAAAGCAGTTGCCACGGATCTTAGCACGCTTCTGGCCCGTGGGGCTGGCGAATTCATACGGAAAAGGAATGGAAAAGGAATGGAGGAGGAGGAGGAGGAGGAGGAGGAGGAGGAGGAGAAGGAGGAAAATGAGGAGGGGGAGGAGGAGGTGGAGGAGGAGGAGGGAAGGAGTACCGGAGCCTTGCTGGGCAGCTCCTGGCTCTCCAGACGCCAGCGCCGTGCAGGCACGGGGGCGGATTTGCTGCACTGCCGCGGAGGGCAGTGGCCCGCCCGGGACCTGCAGCCCGGCGGTGCGGTGTCGCCGCCGTCGGAGCTGTCGCGGGCGCTGCAGCAGGACCGCTACAGGCAGCCTGGTGGGCCTGGGGCGGTTCCGGCCCTGGCAGCCGCCCATTGCTCCGAGACTTGCCTCTTCTTCGGTCTCTGTTCCAACCGCAATATTTCGTGAGGCATCTCTTCTTCGCGCGCTTTGTGTTCGACAGCGCGATGCCGGAATTCTCACAGCGTCTTGCGGCTTCGGTCGATCGTCTCGTCACGCATCATCAGGGCTTCGGACTCGCTCTTTCTAATGCTAGTGCGCATGTGTCAGTGTGTGTGTGTGTGTTCTCCGCTCCTCCCTTCTTCTCCTCCCCTTCTCAAGCAGAAAATGGCCGCCACAGGCAGCCCTCTGGCGGCGTGGTTGGCACCGTTCTCGACTGCGCCTTGCGCAAGACGGCCTCGGTGGGCGAGCGCCTGTACTTCTTCCATCGAGGGGGAGACTCCAGAAAGGTACTTGGCCTCAGGAATGGGGCCGGGGCTCTTCTGCACGGCCTCCCGTCGGGGATCTGCACCTATGGCGGTGGCAGCGCTCAGAGAAGGTGTTTGCCAGCGTGGGACCCACCCCGCCAAACAACAGCAGCAGCAGCAGCAGCAGCAGCAGCAGCAGCAGCAACAACAACGACAACAACAACAACAACAACAACAACAACAACAACAACAACAACAACAACAACAATAACAACAACAACACCAAACAACCGACGACAACAACAACAACAACAATAAGCCGGATCGCGAAATCCCAGTCCAGCCACGCATCCCGAGACAGTGAACGACCGTTCGGCCCCCTCACTTTGATGTATATATATATATATATATATATATATATATATATATATATATATATCCCTGGGGGCGAGGCCGGAGGCCCCAGGACAGGTGCCTCCACCCCCCATTGGGGGACGGGGGCTCATTTTCCCTGTGTTTTTACACGGTTTCCGCGTCCTGGGCCTGGGAGGCCGCCGCCTCCAACCCCCCATGGGAGGACGGGGCGGCCGGGGAGGTCCAAAATAGTCCAGGAGGGCATCCAGAGGCTCCCCAGACAGCCCAAGCGGGCCCCGAGTCGCCGAAAGACCGCTCCAGGACGCCCAAGATAGGCTCAAGACGGCCCGAGAGGCTCCCCAAGGCACTCCACGACGCTTCCAGACGCCTCTCCAAAGCGCTTCACGAGGCCGAAATCGTTTATTTTACGAAGGTTTCGGACACATTTTGCTTTTCCCGCCTTCTCAGCTTTCCGACGCTCCACGACGGCTCAAAGGCTCCCCGCGGACGCCCCAAGAGAGCCCAAGAGGCCTCCAAGAGGCCTCCAAGAGGGGCTCAAGACGGCTCTGGAGGGCCCCAAGACGGCCCCAAACGCGCTCAAGACGGGCGAAGAGAGCCCCAAGACGGCCCAAGCGGGCCCCGAGTCGCCGAAAGACCGCTCCAGGACGCCCAAGATAGGCCCAAGACGGCCCGAGAGGCCCCCCAAGGCACTCCACGACGCTTCAAGACGCCTCTCCAGAGCGCTTCCAGAGGCCGAAATCGTCAATTTTACGAAGGTTTTCGAACGATTTTGGCCTTCCAGCCTTTTCGGCTGTCCGACGTTCCAAGACGGCTCAATAGGCCCCCAGGAGCGCCCCAAGACGGCCCAAGAGGGCCCCAAGAGGGCCCCAGAGTCGCCCAAGACAGCCCAACAGAGCCCCAAGACGGCCCCAAGATGCGCCTAAGACGGGGACCACGACTCCAAGATTCGACCCTCCGGCTTGAAGAGTGCCCCAGGAGGCCCCAAGGAGCCCCCAAGAGGCCCCAGGAGGCCCCCAAGAGGCACCCAGGAGGCCCAAACGAGGCCTAAAGAGGCCACAAAACAGCCCCGAGGAGGCCCCACAACGGTCCCAAAACGGCTACCGAGAAGCTGCGAAACTGCCTTCACGACGTCCCCGACAGGCCAACCACGAGATCCAAACCAACACCCATGAGGCCTCTGACCCACCACCCAGGGCACGGTGGCGGGAGCAGTGACAGCACTTGTGCACAGCATGTTCCGGCGGGAGCCTTCCGGAACACGCTGCAGGAGGAGGAGGAAGATCAGGAGGAGAGAGAGCTGGAGTGGGAGGAGGAGGAGGAGGGGGACGAGGAGGAGGAAGAGGTCTCCAAGACAGCTCGAAGATAGCCGAAGAGGCTTACACGAGGGCCCTGGGCGGCCCACGAGGGCCCCAAGGCGGTGCCCGAGGCGCCCGAGAGGGCCCCAAGACGGCCCCAAGAGAGCCCCAAGAAGGGAAACACGAATCGAGAATCCGAGCTTTCTACCACGAGAGGTTCTCGGGAAGACCCAAGATGCCCCCAACCGGATCCAAGAGGCCCCTGAGAAGCTCCCAAGAGGGCCGACGAGGTTCCAAGAGATCTCCCAAGGTGGCCCCAAGAGGCAGAACTCATTGTTTTACGATTGGGCTTTGACGGGTTCTACATTGTTTTCTGCCTTTGGCATCCCGATGTCCAACTCGGCCCAAGAGGCTTCCAATACCGCTCCCATATAGAGGAAGAGGCCTCCAAGAGGGCCCCAAGATGGCCCGCGAGGGCCCCAAGACGGTGCTTGAGGCGCCCAAGACGGCCCCAGAGGGCCCCAAGAGCCCCAAGAGAGGCCCAAGAAGGGGAACGCGACCCAACAGCAGAGCGGTCCCCCCACAAGGCCCACAGGAGGCCGCAAGAGGCCCCCAAGTTGTCCGACGAGGACACCAAAAGCTTCCCGAGGGCCTCAAAGGCCCGTAGGAGACGTCCAAGAGGCTTTAAAATAGCCCAAGAGTGCCCTCGATGCGTCAAAACTGCTTCCAGGACGCCCCCGGGAGGCTCCCGGATTGCCTCAATCTGGCAGCAGGTGGTCTCAAGTCGGGCCTCCACGCAGCCAAGACGGCCAATGACGGCTTCAAATTGCAGAACCCATGCCCCCAAGGGGCCCTCAGACGCCCCCCCAAGAAGCACCCAAGAGGTGCCTCCAACAGCCAGTTGACGAAGCATGCGGAACACCCCAGAAGCTCCTCAGATGCCGTCGCGCGCCTGTGCTTGATAGCGTTGTCCAAGATCGTCCAGCGCCCCCCGGCCTGGGCTAGAACCATGCAGGCCCAGCAGGCTCCAAGAGGCCCAGGAGGGCGCCAAGAGGGCCCCAAGATGCCCAAGATAAGCCCAAGACGGCCACAGAGGCCCCCAAGACGCTCCAAGAGGCCTCCAAGAGGCCCCCCCAGAGGGCCCCAAGAGGCCAAAATCGTTAATTTTACTAAGGTTTTGGACACATTTTGCCTTTCCCGCCTTTTCAGCTGACCGACGCTCCACGACGGCTCAAAGGCCCCCGCGGACGCCCCAAGACGGCCCAAGAGGCCTCCAAGAGGCCCTCAAGACGGCTCTGGAGGGCCCCAAGGCGGCCCAAGACGCGCCCAAGACGGGCGAAGAGAGGCCCAAGACGGCCCCCAGATGGGCCCCAAGAGGGGAACCGCGAACCGGAAATTCGAGGCTCCCGCCTCCACCGGGTCCCGGGAGGCCCCAAAGGGGCCCCAAGAGGCCCCAGGAGACCCCCAAGAGGCACCCAGGAGGCCCAAACGAGGCTTCAAGAGGCTCCCAAACAGCCCCCACGAGTTCCCCCTTGCGGGCCTCTCCGGCCCCTCCCGGGGACCATCTTGGGCCACCTTCTCCTCGGGGTTCATAGCCCCGAGCTGGCGAGAATGCGAGAACCGTTTAAAGACAAATCAGATATGGTTTTGTCACTTGAGGCTGTCCTGTGGGTTCCCTTGGGGACTAATTCTCCTCGTTCGCCCAGTCTTCCTCCTCACTCCATGGAAGAAGCAAGACTCTCCTTGCGCTGGCTGGGGTCTTCCCGTCCAGGCAGGGCTGGCGTTCCTCTTCCTCCTCCTCCTCCTCCTCCTCCTCCGATCCTTTCTCACCAGAGCCGTATGCTGCAACACTGTCGACACGATTTGAGTCATCAGAATAATCAGGGTGCGGTTGTTGTAGTCCGCGTTTTGATGTAGTTGGTGAAGCTCTCGTTGAGCATGCAATGAGCCCGGCCAGGACGCCGAAGCAAGGACCGCCTTGGGCACAGGAGCGGCTCTGGCTCGTCGTGCTGCTGCCTAGCTCCAGGCTGGGGGACCTTTTTGTGGCCAAGACCCTCGCCGTGGCCGGAACAGCCCCGCCGTTCTTTCGACAGCGGTCCTTCTGGCAGCACGCTCCCGTGTGGGGCGAGCTCGCGTTCACAATCGGGGAAGTCCGCGCTAGAACCTAAGCGCGCGCGAAGCGCGCGCGTGGTTCTAGTATGTATATGTATTTGTGTACACGTATATGTATTTGTATGTCTAAATGTATATGTATATGTGTATGCATATGTATGTGTATATGTATATGTATATGTTTACGTTTACATACGCTCATCAATATTTGTATATATATATATATATATATATGTGCGCATATTTATGCGTCCGTATATCTGAATGTGTGTACGTATACGTATATGAATATGTATATGTATATGTTATGTATATGTATATGCATATGTAGTTGCGCAAGTTCATGCGTTTGTGTGTGTATGCACATATGGGACCGCGACCCCGACAGGGCATGGGGGGACCGGGCGTCGTTTCCTTTTGTTTTTCCCCGCGTGCTTCGTGGGGTTCTGGTTTTCTTCCCGCCCGCGCCGCGCCCGCGTCTCACCCACGCCCGCGCTCCTCCCCTCCTCCTCCTCCTCCTCCTCCTCCTCCTCCTCCTCCTCCTTCTCGCACAGCGCAGCACAGCACGGCACAGCGCAGCACTGCTCAGCGCAGCTCAGCTCAGCTCAGTACAGCACAGCGCTGCACAGCACAGCGTAGCACCTCAGCGCAGCACAGCGCCGCACTGCACAGCACAGCACAGACCAGCTCAGCACAGCACAGCAGGCGTGGCACTTTCTCGACACCAGACGGGGTGCGTGGGGGGTGGTCCCTCAGCGCGGTCTCTATACGCGCCAATGTCGCAGGGCCTAGCAGGCGTGGCACTTTCTCGACACCAGAGGGAGGCGCAGGGGGTGGTCCCTCAGCGGGGTCTCTATACGCGCCAACGTCGCAGGGCCTAGCAGGCGTGGCACTTCCTCGACACCAGAGGGGGTGCGCAGGGGGTGGTCCCCCACCCCGGTGTCTATACGCGCCAATGTCGGAGGGTCCAGCAGGCGTGGCACTTCCCCGATTCCAGAGGGGGTGCGCAGGGGGTGGTCCCTCAGCGCGGTGTCTATACGCGCCAATGTCGCAGGGCCTAGCAGGCGTGGCACTTTCTCGACATCAAGGGATGCGCAGGAGGTGGTCCCTCAGCGGGGTCTCTATACGCGCCAATGTCGCAGGGTCTAGCAGGCGTGGCACTTTCTCGACACCAGAAGGGGTGCGCAGAGGGGTGGTCCCTCAGCGCGGTGTCTATACGCGCCAATGTCGCAGGGCCTAGCAGGCGTGGCCCTTCCTCGACACCGGAGGGGGTGCGCAGGCGGTGGTCCCTCGGCGCGGTGTCTATACGCGCCAATGTCGCAGGGCCTAGCAGGCGTGGCACTTCCTCGACACCAGAGGGGGTGCGCAGGGGGTGGTCCCCCACCCCGGTGTCTATACGCGCCAATGTCGGAGGGTCCAGCAGGCGTGGCACTTTCTCGACTCCAGGGGTGCGCAAGGGGTGGTCCTTCACCCCGGTGTCTATACGCGCCAATGTCGCAGGGCCTAGCAGGCGTGGCACTTTCTCGACACCAGAGGGAGGCGCAGAGGGGTGGTCCCTCACCCCGGTGTCTATACGCGCCAATGTCGCAGGGCCTAGCAGGCGTGGCACTTTCTCGACTCCAGAGGGGGTGCGCAGGGGGTGGTCCCTCAGCGCGGTGTCTATACGCGCCAATGTCGCAGGGCCTAGCAGGCGTAACACTTTCTCGACACCAGACGGTGATGAGACGGCGGTCTCTATCCGTTGCAGGTTCGCACGGCGCAGCAGGCGTGTTATTTTCTCGACACCAAAGGTACACCGTGTCCAGGCGTGACCGGGCCAGCCCGTTGGCGTGCGTGAAGGCCTCCTGCTCCAGCTCGTGGAAGTGGTGGCCCTGCCGCAGCACCGCTTGGAACTGTCGGGCCTCCGCCCTGTCGTGGTCGCCAGTGGGGCGCCCACACGCCTTCGCCACCCGGTCGGGGCCCGACTCGACGAAATTAAAATCTCCAGCGATTGTTGTCAGAGCCCGGTCTCGCTGCCGAAGAGACCCCGCCAAAGCCTGCACGTACTCCTGCCTGCGTTGCCGCGTCTCGCCGTCATTGCCGGCCGGGAGTTAGACAACATACGCGTCCAACGAGCTGCGGGGGCCGTCCAGTTCCAGCTTGGCGATCCAACCTGGGACCACGTGGACCCAGCTATCGGCATTGACCGGGTTGAAAGACGCCAGGAAATCTTCCTTCACGTGGATTGCGACACCACCTGTGTGGTTGGTGCCATGCGACCGAAAACGTCGATATCCAGGGGTCAACTTCGCAGCGAAGACCTTACCGTGCCAGTCGAGGATGCCTTTAAAAAGGCCCCAAAGCGGCCCACGAGGGGGCCAAGACGGCCCACGGGGCGCCCAAACCGCCCAAGACGGGGACGAGGAACTGGAATTTCTAGCGTTTTGGCCCAAGAGACCCCTAGGAGACCCCGAGAGGCTCCAAGAAGGGGCCCAGAAACCCCAAGAGGCGCCCATGAGACCCGAAAAAACAGCAAAAGAGTCCCCGAAGACACACCAAGAGGCACCCCGAGAGTGGCTCAATAAGCAAAAGTCGTCGAGTTCCTATGGGGAAGCTGATATTGTTGGTGTGTTTGCCTTTTGGGCGTCCACTGCATCCAAGACGGCCCACGAGGCACCCAAGCCGGTCGAGGATGCCCCAAGAGGGCCCCAAGACGGCCCACGAGGGGGCCAAGACGGCCCACGAGACGCCTAAACCGCCCAAGAACGCCCCCAGGAGCCCAAGAGGCCTTTCCGGGGAGCTCCCACAGCACCCTAGGAGGGCCCAAGACGACTCCCAGGAGCACCCAAAATGCGAAAGGATGGTCCAAGACGTTCCCAAGCAGCCCAAGTCAGCCTTCGGACGGCTCTCGAGGCTCCCAGGTGGCCTCCAAGAGGCCCCAAGAGAGGTCCGAGAGGCGTCCCGGGACGGCCCGAAGAGGCCCAAATCGTCGATTTTCATTTGTTTTTGCAATGTTTTTGGCATCTCGCGTTTTCGAGCTTCCAATGGTCCAAGAGCGCCGAAGAGGCTCCCAAGACCGCCCCAAGACCACCGATGAGATTCTCAGGACGGCCCCAAGACGAGCCAAGAAGCCTCCAAAACTGCCGAAGAGGCGCCCAGGACAGCCCCAGACTACCACATAACAGGCCCAAAATGGGCCCAAGAGCGGGAGCAGGAGGCTTCCAGCGACCTCCGAGAGGCCTCTGGGATCCTCCAGAGGCCCCCAACACACCCCCGATCCCTGAGAGGCCCCAAAAAGACCCCGACGAGGCCCTAAGAACAGCCCAAGAGAGCTGCGAGAGCCGTCCCGAGAGAGCCCAAAGAGGGTAAAATCGTTGATTTCGAATGTTTTTTTTGTAATTGGTGTCGCCTTCTGATGTTTTCCCGCTTCCAACCCTCGAAGATTGAGGATTTTTTTTGGAAATTTCCGCGACGTACCCAATCCTTGCGCAATGCGGGGCACAAATACATCAGGATTGCTCAGCTGTAGGCCACTTCGTTTTCTTCGTGTTCCCAGAACACCATTCCCAGGCCACATTTTGAATGCCCGGAGCCAACTGTACGCCACTTCGTGTTCTTCGTGCTCCCAGAGCACAACTCCTGTACCATATTTTGATTGCCCGGAGCCAACTGTGGGCCACTTTATGATCTTCGTGTTCACTTCGTGTTCTTCGTGTTCCCAGAACACCATTCCTGTACCATATTTTGATTGCCCGGAGCCAACTGTGGGCCACTTCGTGATCTTCGTGTTCCCAGAACACCAGTCCTGTGCCATATTTTGAATGCCCGAGCTGAGACAGGCTGAGGCTGAGGCTGACGCAGGCTGAGGCCGAGGCAGGCTGAGGCTGAGGCTGAGGCTGAGGCTGAGGCTGAGGCAGGCTGAGACTGAGGCTGAGGCAGACTGAGGCTGAGGCTGAGGCTGATGCAGGCTGAGGCTGAGAGGCTGACGCTGAGGCTGAGGCAGGCTGAGGCTGAGGCTGAGGCTGAGGCCGAGGCAGGCTGAGGCTGAGGCTGAGGCAAGCAGAGGTAGGCTGAGGCTGAGGCTGAAGCTGAGGCAGGCTGAGGCTGAGGCTGAGGCTGTGGCTGAGGATGAGGCAAGCTGCGGCTGAGGCAGGCTGAGGCTAAGGCTGATGCAGGCTGAGGCTGAGGCAGGCTGAGGCTGAGGCTGAGGCTGAGGCTGAAGGCTGAGGCTGAGGCTGAGGCTGAGGCTGAGGCTGATGCAGGCTGAGGCTAAGAGGCTGACGCTGAGGCTGAGGCAGTCTGAAACTGAGGCTGAGGCCGAGGCATGCTGAGGCTGAGGCTGAGGCAAGCCGAGGCAGGCTGAGGCTGAGGCTGAAGCTGAGGCAGGCTGAGGCTGAGGCTGTGGCTGAGGCTGAGGCAAGCTGCGGCTGAGGCAGGCTGAGGCTGAGGCTGATGCAGGCTGAGGCTGAGGCAGGCTGAGGCTGAGGCTGAGGCAGGCCGAGGCTGACAGATATGCTTATACACGTCGCTGTTAGGTTGCTTTGCCGGGATAATCTGTTGTTTTGGAAACGTTTTTTTTTTTTTTTTTTTTTTTTTTTTTTTTTTTTTTTTTTTTTTTTTTTTTTTTTTTTTTTTTTTTTTTTTTTTTTTTTTTTAAAAAAAAAAAGCAAAAAAAAAAAACACGGCACCCAATGAACCATAATTGCGTTTCCCATATTTGTTGAAGAAAATTGCGTTTCCCATAATTCGGAATTCCGAGAATTCGAATTCGGAATTTCGAAAATTCGAATTCTGAATTACGGGAAACGCGCATTTCTTCAAACAAACGCATTCAATGAGCCACAATTGCGCGGCTCATTGAGTGCTGGTTTTTGAGGAAAATTGCGTTTCCCATCAGTCGGAAGTCGAATTACGGGAAAATCGCGTTTCCCGTGCAATGTGTGCCGGGGGC